GCATGATTTCCAATACAAACGCAGCAAGAACAGAGTTTCAAGCAAAAATGGACGGCATAAAGCAGTACATGGCCCTTCGAAAGGTTAATAAACAGGTAAAAATTTTTGCTTCAAACTTATTTCTTACGTCTCTACAAATGTTACAAATGTTACATTGTAAACCTGCCATAACAGCTTTTATTTTTTGATCAAGTATTCTTTCTACAATAAACAACGTTACAAGAAACCTGTTCGGTATTTAATTATTACAGAACAATTCTTTTAAGCTTTTTTTACACGTTATACTCATTGCACTAAGTTGCAGTTAGAGACGAGAGTCATTAAGTGGTTTGACTATCTCTGGGCAAATAAACAAACCTTAAGCGACCAAAAAGTGCTAAAAGTACTGCCTGATAAATTGCAAGCAGAAATTGCTACTCAAGTTCATTTTGAAACTCTTCGAAAAGTTAGAATCTTCCAAGTAAGACTTTCCTGACATCACCTTTGCCGAACCTTTAAAACCTAAGTTGTAAGCCAAAATTTATTTGTGCTTCACAAATGCTTTCTATAACTACTATTCAAAAAGTAATTTAGGACTGCGAAACTGGATTACTTGCTGAGCTGGTGCTTAAACTGCAACAACAGGTAAATACTGGTTTCTTATTCTTCTTATTAACAGTTTCTGAGTGGACTAAGTCCGGTATGGCTGGGCAGATCTCTCATTAAGAGTTAACATTACTCTCTCACAAGTCCGCCACTTAAAAAAATCGTATGAAGATACTTATCTTCAGGAAAATTTGCAAAATTTACATCTAAAACATTACTCATTACCGTATTGCTTATCGTTCTATCACTATGGCTCTGGATTTAAAAAATCACTATAAACATTACAGAACCTTCAAATTCATTTGGATAGGGAAAGTTGCTTTTCGATCTTCTCGTGAGTACGTTCTAAAACGTAAACATAAAGGGACTGCTACAGGTAGCTTATTATAGGTATAAGACAGTTGTGGTTTTGCTAAAGGCTGTTTTAGTGAAATTTATTCAAGCAGGCACATTACTGCGCAGGTACTTTTGGAGACCACAGAGCAAAGCAGAACTTTAGCGCTTGGAAAGTATTTTCCATTGCTAGAAGAAATTAGAATCTTTGTTCTCAACTTCGTTCTCCCACTTCGTTGTCTGCTGCAACTCAATTTGTTTTTCTCAAGCCGAATATCCTCAGAATTCCTTCTTTTATTTATTAAAGGTCAGGCTAAATAATATTCTGGAGCGGTTGTTATTAAGCTCATATTCAAGTAAGCACATCACTGTGAATATGTTTTTGGGATCAGAGAGCGAAGAAGATCTTTTAACGCCTAGAACGTTAAGAATTAGGCTATAACTAATGAGCATTAGAGTCTGAAGAAGGTCCATATCTGATGGATTATAAAAGCTTCAAAAACTTAGCGGTGCTTTCTCGCCCGTCATTTGCAAAATTTGTTTTAAAACTCAGTGCCTAAATTAAAAACTAAGTATGTTTCAAGCAGGCTATCTTTATTCATTAATTCATACAAGATTGTAACAGAACCATCAATTAACAATTTGGTGCGTTTTAAAAATACTGATCTTTGGCAGCGAGGAAAAGAAAGGATCAGGCTTAGTGAAACAATCGACAAAGCAGCGTAATGTACATTACGGCTTCCACTTCCACCAAGACTGAGATCTTTGTCCAGTGATTTAGCATAATTCGTAAGCAGTTTTCATTATGCTTTTTCCAATACACTTACTCCTATCTAGACTTTAGTTGGCAATTTCAAAGAAATTAATGAATTTATAGAGCTAGTTGCTTTCTCATATTGACTTCAGCAAATAGCCAAACTTATCTAGTAAGTGGAAAAAAGCCACTCGACCCCAAAGCTGTTTCACAAAGAACACTTTTCCTATTTTCTGTTTCGTAGCTTTCGAAATTCTGCGCCTTGAGCTTTGCACTGTTTCAAGGAACGGTGAAGCCAATACCTTGCATAAACGCCTTTGTTAACTTTTGAACTTCAAAATTGAAGTTCTCATTTTCTTCGTTGATCTTGATGAAGATGTCTCGAAATGCTGCACCTCTGAATATTCGTGTGTTTTAATAAAGGTTGCTGAAGAGGTTTTAAAGGAAAGATAACGCGGACCTTTTCTAAAATTACAGGTTACAACGGAAAAGAAGTTCAGAAGTTTTTTAAACATTCAAACCACAGAGTATAGGTGTTTTGAAAGCAAAAAAAGGTGCCAGCATGCTTGCACATTTCATCTTCTTTTTACCTTATGCAAATTCAAAAATGGACGCAAACATATATGCCAGCGCAATCGGAGTGAACTTCTTAAGATGCGTTACCAGGAGTGATATCAAGGCGAAAGTCGACAGATTTCAAGTCTGAGAAGTAGGCTCAGGCTTCCTCTAAGCTGTCTAGATTAAGCAAATTATTGCTCCGTACGAATTGTTTGAGACTTCTTGTAAAACTGATGAACCGTCGGTGATTAACTATGAAAGCAAAAAATAATCCCCTTATCCTCACACATCCCACTGTATAGTAAGATATCAAAGGATTTTACATCAGTTCCTCTTCTCAGTCACCTTATACCAGGAAAATGTTCTCAAGCCTCATACTTTTTAAAACTCTTTGAGCCTCAGAATTTATTGCCGCAGAACTGTTCTGGTTTACATACAGCCTTTGCAGAATTACAAAATTCTAAGTAAGTACTTGAAAACATGATGAGGAAATAAAAGAAAATGAGAAAAAAATATTAATTTTCAGGTAGTGTAAAATTATCGGTAGCAAAATGCAATTTTTCAAATTCTTGTGTAATTGGAAAAATCCAGTCACAAGTAACAACCGATGCTCAAAAAATAACACTCAAATAAGTTAAATGTATTTTCTCAAACACTTATTATCTAAAGTGATAAAGAATAAAATTTTAGGTGTTTTCACCAGGCGATTATATATGCAGGAAAGGCGATATTGGTCGTGAGATGTATATAGTAAAACAAGGAAAACTAGAAGTAGTAGCTGACGACGGCATCAAAGTATTCGTAACACTTCAAGAAGGAGCTGTATTTGGAGAGCTGAGTATACTAAACATCGCAGGTAAATAAAAAAATACAAGAAGATTTGCCTTTGAGAGCATTCTTTTTCAGTAATATATTTGCAAATAAGTTTTAAAGCCATTACCAATATTTCTTCTCAAGCTTAGGTAAAGTACGAAAAAAATGAAGTTGAAGAAGGTGATCTGTTCAACTCTAATTTTGGAGCTCCTGCAAACTTGGGGAATAAAATGCTCAATCACTACGCTTATTTTAGCATAAGATCTTCATACGCATTTAAACAAGTATTACAGGGAGCAAGAATGGTAACCGGAGAACAGCAAACGTTCGTTCTGTTGGTTACACCGACCTTTTCGTGTTAAATAAAAACGATCTTTGGAATGCATTAAAGGAATATCCCGATGCTAGGAAGCTTCTGATAGCTAAAGTAAGTGGTTCCTTACTAGTAGATGGCTGCTGGTGCTGTGCGTCCCGTCCTTTAAAACAAAGCTTGAGTAATTTGAAACAACTGACTAAATTCTATTTATACTATTCAATCACAAAAACTCGATATAGCTGAGGTAATTTTTCTTCTCTAATTTTTAATTTTTAAGAAAACTACGTAAATTGATGGAAATCCATTTGATGTGTAATGAAGAAAAAATTCTAATGTTCAATTAATTAAAATTTAGGGTAGAGAAATTCTGCGAAAAGATAACTTGCTCGATGAAAATGCTCCTGAAGAACAAATTTCAGCAGAAGAAATGACTGAAGTGCTTTTTGGGAAACTAAAGACAGTTCAAACACGGTTAGTTAAAATTTCCCTACCAAACTGTTTTTTTTTTTTTTTTTT